GGACCTGTGTTCAGACTATATAAGGGGCATTTTGAACACTATGATCACATTTTCCAAGAACTCTGGACACAGGTCTGACTCCCAGAGGTCTAGGAAGGAAGGAGGGAGGAGGGCATAGTTCGTTAGGGGAATCTCATAGGTCATTATATTTAGACAGGAGAATTAGGATCAGAAAAATGGTTTTCAAAGGTAAACAGATAATTTTGGGCATTTCAAGTTTTCTTGTAATGATGAATTGATGGTGCTCTATGACTTGTGCTCTCCATTTTGTGGATTCCTATAGATGAAGCTTTAACTCTTTAAAAGAGGAGTTTTAATAAAGACATGTTTCAAAAAAGAATAATATATAGTCCTTAAGAAAAACAATTAATGCAGATTATGAAAAAATGTAATCTAATTCTAATATCTTTGTTTAGTACAGTGCATTTCTCTTTATATTTGTGCTTTTCTGCACTGGGCTTATAGTTATATATAGATAATTTCTAATTTAGCCCAGGTTAACTGGAGAAACAAATCCAGAGACACTCATATATGTGTAAGAAAGAGCTTTACCACAAGAAGGATTTATGCATAAATAAAACATCCCAGCCCAGTTCAACTCAATGAATAAGTCCGATACTAGTCCATGAGTCCCTTTTTACCAATGCAGCCACATGCAATGATGTAAAAAGCAGGAATATCATAGGCTGGTGGGTGCAAACTCGTGGATCCAATAGCAGTGGATGCGTCTCCAGGGATGTGGCAGTCTCAGAGTGTCTTGCCAGCAGAAAGTTGAAGGCAAAGACAATGAGGGAGGTCCCAGGACCCTCCTTATGAGAAGGCCATGCCCACAAAGAGTCACCATCAAGATGTGACTTGATTGGCAGGTTAAATACCACCCCATGCACTTTGTATATCATTTTGACATGAAATTATGTAGTACCACGATTTCTTAGGCCACAACCTTGCAAAGGGTGGGCAGTTTATTTTACAAGTAAGGCCAAGAAAACCCCTGTAGGGATTGGATAGTTTAGTATGCAAATAAGGTACATGTGGCGTACTGAGGTGATTGTTAGTGTATAGTCTTAGTGAGAAGAGTAGGCTAATGAAAGAACTGTAATGAAGTGAATTAATTTATATGGCTCTTCTAGCCACGATCTTTTTTACTTCCAACAAACAGTCTTGTTGGTGAGATTATATTTTATTATTATTATTTTGATTTGCATCTCTCTAATGACTAATGATCATTTCTTTTTGTGTCTGTTGGCTACCTGAATGTTTTCTTTGATGAAGTGTCTGTCCATGTCTTCTGAGCATTTAAAAAAAGATTTATCATTTGTCTTTTTGTTGTTCAGGTGTGGAAGTTTTCTATGAATTTTTGAGACCAGTCTTTTGTCTCACATGCTTTTACCAACAATTTTCTTTATGGATTCTCTTTTTAACATTTTGGTGAAATCTTTTGATGTTTATAAATGTCTACTTTTTAGAAGGTTAGAGTAATCTATGTTTCCTTTTGCCTTGTGTGTACTTTTAGATACACTTGTTAGTGTATTTATGTCATGTATTCAGTCTCCTAAGTTTGTCCCTATTTTTTTCATTGGTAATCTCTTTGGTTTTAGGATTTACCTGTAGGTGTTTGATCCCTCTTGAGTTCACGTTTGTAACTGAAGTGAGATATGAATCCTGTTTAATTTTTCTTTCTCAAATGAATATCTAGTTTATCAAGCCTCATTTGTTAATGAGATTATCTCTTCCCCATTTAAGGAGTTTCAGCCATTTGTCAGTTTCAGCTCTCTAGACATAGATGGATTTTCTTCTGGCTTCCCAGTTCTGTTTCATTAGTTTCTATGGCTGTCATTGTACCAGAACCAAACAATTTTCACTACTATGGATGTGTGAGCAGTTTTGAGATTAGGAAGTGTGAACCTTCCAACTTTGTTCTACTTCTTTGATAGTGCTTTGCTTATCCAGGGCATATTACTTTCCATAAAAGTTGGTTCTTCCAAGCTGATGGTGCTTGGTTATCAAAGGATATAGTGTATTAGTCTGGGCACTTTAGAGAAACAAATCCATAGAAGCTCATGTATAAGAGAGAGTTTTATAAAATGGGTAAGTGCACATCAAGAAAACATTCCAACCCAGTGCTGCCCAAGTCCACAAGTCCAACATTAACTCATTAACCCATATGTCCAACACCAATCCACAAAGTCCTCCTCCATCACACAAAACACACACTATGATGCCAACTGCAGGAGGAAAGCCAAATCAGTGAATGTGTAAGCATCTCAGTGCTGGCAGGGGTCAGCTGCTCCAGTACCCAGGGCTGCACCAGGGTAGGCCCATGTGTTATCTCCTTGGGGATGTCATGCAGGAAGTCAGCCTTGCAAGCTGAAGCAGGGAACTGGTAAGGCAGCTACAACCTGCTATGAAAATAAAAAAGCAAGAGACCCAAGAACTAGAAAGGTGAGGCGCACTGAGCCAATAATTCCTCCGCCATTCAATTAACCCCACATGTGTTTATCAGCCAAGTTGGCACAATAAACTAACTCCTATAGTGTCTGACGTCTTAAAGGTTTGAAGCTAAAGAAGCAGCCATGTAGCACAGAAGCAACAAAGCACACATGAAAGAAGCACACCAGCCTGTGTGGTAACGAGGTGCCAAAGGGATCAGGATCAGGCATCAAAGAACGAAAAATCATATCATTGTGTGCTCACCTCCCTGATAAGATTGCTAAAGACAACTGGGTGCATAAGCAAATGTGGTGAAGAAAGCTGATGGTACTTGGCTATCAAAAGATATAGGGTCTGGGGTCTAAAAGGCTTGAAGGTAAACAAGTGGCCATCTAGCTCAAAACCAACAAAGCCCACATGGAAGAAGCACACCAGCCTATGGGATCACAAGGTGTCGAAGTTATCAGGTATCAGGCATCAAAGAACAAAAAATCAAATCATTGTGAATGAGGGGGAGTGCAGATTGGGGACCCAAGACCTATCTGTAGGCAACTGGACATCCCCTTAAAGTAGGGTCAAGGGGAGGAGATGAGCCATTCAGGGTGCAGTGGAGCAAAGATGAAACATACAACTTTCCGCTAGCTCCAAAATGATTCCTGCCCTCCCACTATTACGATCCCAATTCTACCTTACAAATCCAGATAGACCAGAGGATGTACTCTAGTATAGATAGGAACTGGAAACCTAGGGAATCCAGGAAAGATGATCCCTTCAGGAATAGTTGTGAGAGTGGCGATACCTGAAGGGTGGGGTTGAAAGGGGGAACCGATTACAAAGATCTACATATAACCTCCTCCCAGGGGGATGGACAACTGAAAAGAGGGTGAAGGGAGACGTTGGACAGCATAAGATATGACAAAAGAATAATAATTTATAAATTATCAAGGGTTCATGAAGGAGGGGGGAGGGAGAAGGAGGGGCGAAAATGAGGAGCTGATGCCAGGGGCTTAGGTGGAAAGTAAATGTTTTGAGAATTATGAGGGCAACAAATATATATATGTGCTTTACACAATTGATGTCTGTATAGATTGTGGTAAGAGTTGCATGGGCCCCAAATAAAATGATTTTTAAAAAGATGTTGGTTCTTCCATAATTTTAAGAATGAGTCTGGTTTAGAATTACATTTGCTCTGTAGATTGCTTTGGAAAATCTTGATGTTTTCACAATATTAGGTCTTTCCATTGATGAACCTTTCATATATGCGGCGGGTTTCTCCCATTCGTTTCTTGTAATAGTGCTTTCGTTTATTTGTATACATATAAAGATGAAGTTTTCTGCTCCCATAAAGATTTACAGCCTTGGAAACCTAAAGGGACAATTCTACTTTGCCCTATAGGGTCACTGAGTCAGAATTGACTCAAGGCATTAGGTTTTTGAGTTTAATTTTTTTGTTTCCATGCTTAGACTGGTTTCTAAATAATAAGGTATGTGTTGAGGCAGCAGTTTGAAAACACCAGCCACCGCATGGAAGAAAGCCTTTGTCAATTTGAATGCCTTTAATTTCTCTTTATTGTCTTATTGCTCTGGCCAAGACTTCCAGCAAAATGAGGGTAAATAGCATTCTTGTCTGGCTTTATTTACAAGGGGGGTGCATTCAGTCTTTCTCCACTGAGCCTAATGTCTGCCATTGGAAACCTAAGGAGAACTTAGATATTTAGTATCTCTGCTCTTGTTTAGAAATCAATAACCATACAAGAAGGCATAAGAAAGTTCATGGAAAATTTTCCTTTTCTTTTAATTCAATTCTCCAATGACGTTTTGATGCCCCATCACATATGCTTAACTTTAAATTTTGCTGAAAAAGATTATGTTATGTCTTAATAGTTCTTACATTTCAGTTTCATTTTGTTTAATTTTTATTAGAAATAGTCGTTTCTGCTATATCATTAAGTTTTCTATATGTCTTATTACATTGTGAAATTGATCCATATTTTTTGTATTCACATTACCATGATAATCCTATTATTATAAGCATACCACATTACCCTGGCCTTAAAAATATAGAGAAAAAGACAAACTATCTAAAAGTTATTAATATTAAGATGATACTTAAATAACCACTATCCCAACTCCTCTCAGCAAGTAGAAATTGATTACGATGTCCCGAGATTGAAGCACACCAAAATACAGAGAAAATGACCTTAAATGTAAGTTCTTCATCAAAATGAGAAGAGATGAGCTTTCACCTTTTTCAAAGAAATGTCGTGTGTAGTTGGTGAACATGAGCACAGGAATGAGAGTCAACAGGAAGCTTGTGCCGTTAGAGTGCTCTTGCTAGACAGAAAGGGATGTCTTAGGCTCTCTCTTTTTTAGTTTGTAACTTAATGAAAGTATATAAATATTCATCCTCCATGTAAACAAAATAATAAATAAAAATTATTGCTTCATGTTATGTCTTTTTCCACCACTTATTTGTAGACACAAATGAGTCGTTGGGTGTTGGGCAATGGAGATGAGTCATTTGTCCTCATAGGTAATGCCAGCACAAGTTTATTGCCATGGTCCCCAGTCTATGCAGTTTCTCTGCGCAGGCATCTGGCCACTTTGTCCCGTATCTCTTTCATCTTTATACCATAAATGATGGGGTTGAGCATTGAAGGTAAAAGTAGATAGAGATTAGCAAGGAGAATGTGGGCATGAGATGGAATATTGTGGCCAATTCGGTGGGTGAGAGAGGAAAAAAGTGCAGGCCCATAGGAAGCAACGATGACAAAGACGTGAGCTGAGCAGGTGTTGAGGGCTTTGCAGATTGCATCTTGAGATTTGAGGCGCACCACAGCCTGCAGGATGAGGGCATATGAAAAGCCAATGAGCATGAGGTCAAGTCCCACAACGAGAAGGATCACAAAGAGCCCATAGATACGATTCGGTCTGGTGTGGCTACAAGCCAGTTTTACCAAAGACATGTGGTCACAGTAGGTGTCAGGAATGATCATTCGGCAGAAGGTCAACCGTTGAAGTAGAAGAGGCATGGGTAGGATAAGAATTATCCCCTTAACGAGAGCTCCCAGTGCCAGCCATCCAACTAGAGAATAACTCAAGATTGTGTTGTAGTGTAATGGCTTACACACAGCTACGTAGCGGTCAAATGCCATTGCAACAAGTAGGGCAGATCGCACCACGGATGCACCATGGACGAAAAACATCTGAGTGAAACAGGCATTAGCAGCAATATCCTGATCATTGAACCAGAAGATGCAGAGGGTCTTGGGCACCAGAGCCAGAGTGGATACGAGGTCAGCCACCATCAGCAGGGCCAGGAGCAGATACATTGGTGTGTGAAGTGTGGCCTCCGTGGCCACCAGGAAGAGGATGACACCATTGCCAATGAGAATAGCCAAAAACATGGAAGAGAAAGAAAGAGAGAGCCACAAATGCTGTCCCTCTAACCCAGGTACGCCCATCAGAGTGAAGGTCATGAAGTTGGATTGGTTGAAAATTAGCATGGTAGAAATTGATGGTGGTTGTTAAAGAAAGTTTGAGCACCTGGTAATGAGATGGTGGATTGGTTTTACCAGTTTGAGTTCTAATGAATTACTCAGATGGGAGTCCAGAATGGAAAATGTAATACCTCTTTAAGAGTACAGAAGTCACAACCTGGTTTCTGCTCCATCCTAAGACCCTACATTGTCTTTACATCACTTTAAAATATAGTATTGGTATTCTTTTTGGTATAAGGAATGTGGTGGAGGGCCTTTATTCTCACCCCTCCCAGTCCAGCAATTCTGTACTTCAAAGAATATTTCTGGATTTCTGAGTATGACGAGAAGCATATGTTAATAACCTGTAGGAAATTGTGGAAGAATATGATAGAAGAACCATAATCTTCTTATTGGAAAGCACCCTACCTGACGAGGATGTACTCCAACACTGCTCCACCTCTGGTTCCAGAATGTTGAGCTGTTGGAGGAAATATCCTTTAAGTTCCTTTGATTTCATGTGTTGGCACTCCTAGAGATTTACCCTCTAATGGTGATGTTATTCCCACCACACTCTGTATCCATTGTCACTGCATCGATTCTGACTCATTGTGACCCTATCAGATAAACTAGCACTTTCCTACAGTGGTTCCAAGGCTGAAAATCTTTATGGAAATAGACTGCCATATCTTTCTCTCACAATGTGTGTGGGTCAG